ACAAAACAGAAAAAAGCAAATGACAGACAATCCCAAAACAGCAGTAGCTTAAATGCTTTCATTTGTCAGGAAAACAAGGAAGAACCTTACTCTTGTTAACCTTTAGAGAATCTCCAAAGAATTAATTAAAGAAAGATTGAGGCATATATATGTGTGTGGAAGTTTTTGTGTGTAAGAAACACATGGGTTTCCATATTGATTCAGTTAATGAAATGAAAGAAATATTCTTCAAACATTGTTTGTGTGGGTTCTTCAATACAATTTCCTAGACATAGGCTATCACTGGTGGGGATCTGTTATGACTGCCATGCTCTTTGAGAACAAGAGGGGAAGCCAGCCAGAAGTCCCTTTTTTCCCTACCAGACTAGATAAGGAAAAGTACCTTTTAGGAATTTTTCATCACCTTTGATGCTTCCTTTGGATTATTTTGGCCATGTTTGAAATAAATTTCTGTTTCAACAATAATATATTTCTAATGTCTCTTTTAGGAAGTGAATTTTCTCCTGACCTTCATCTGACCCAGATTATGGTATTAGGTGGGGTATTAGATACATTCCTATCCAGCAACAGCATCAAAAGTCTTATTAAAGCCACCATATCTACTGGTTCTTTATCCACTCTAAGCCTGTTATTCTGTGTATGATTAGACAGTGGAATTCAGCCACTGCAGTGATTAAGAAAGGAGTTAAAGGCAAAATCTAGAAACTAGTTGGCTTACAAATTGTCCATATCCACTAGTTATTGCTAGTAAAGATTATAAGGAATGTGAGACATCTTCTTGTTGAAGAGACCTTTACACTGTAGTCAGTGGGGGTAGATTCATCCTCCAACACTTCTTTGTGGTTTTGTTTGTTGTAAGTCTTGTTTTTACCTTCTGAATCTTATGTGTTTATGTCATCTGGGATAGTTACTAGACTGGGCTGCAGATCAAGTCTAGGGTAATTCCTTTGTCTCCTGTTTCTCATCATGTGGATTCTTTAGTTTCTGACGGGGTTCTTGGAGCATTTCTTGTCCTGTCCTGCATTCCAGTGCTGTCAGAATGCATCTCTCTTCCTGTGTAATTGAATCAGCATAACTAATTAAATGTAATTATCCCCAGTTAAAATGAAGACATTACTATTGCTCTAATTCCATTGTCTTAAATGGAATTAAATGAGACTGTGCTGTAAAGGCATTTTTCTCTTAATGTGTCTCTGTTCTTCAAAAGAGTTGTCTGATTTCAGTTTTTATTTGGCACAATTAGTGAGTGCTGTTTGGTGTGTTTCTTACACATTCCTCATGGCTGGTGTCATAGCAGGGGGATAGTTATGAGGACACTGAATAGCCTGGCTCCATGGAATCCATGGAAATTTCTGCTGGCACGAATAAAGAAGAAACACGGGGTGGGAACTTATTTGGTGACTTCAAGAAAGTCAAATTACTGTGAGAAGACGTAAGGAAATATTAATGTCTGTTTGCTCTCAGGTTTCTGGCTGATAGAAGGAAAATGGAGTTGTTTCTGTTTGTCTGCCCCTCACTCATGGTGCTAATGTACCTCCCTGATTTAATGACTGGCTACTGATGGCAGGGGCTTTCTGCTCTTCTCCCTTGATTTGCACTGATGCATTCCTGCCCTGTCAGCAGGTGCACTCATCTGTGCCAGTGAGCTAAATTGGCAAGAAAGTAACAATATAAATGGAGGTGTATTGTTTTCTGTGTATTTAGCTCTCTAAACTGGCTCAGGTTTGGGTCAGGTCAGCTGAAGAAGTAGAGAAGAATTACTGGTGGAAGGGAAGGAATGGGGAAAGCCATTTTCACTGGCAGCTGGCTGTTAATTAACTAGTCTAATCTCTGTAGTAAGGTGAAGGGCATAACATTCTAAGCTGCATGGATAAATCTTCCTTTCTGCATGTTGTTCCTGCCCTAGTACAGTAGAAGTGCTTTGGAGACAAGGCAATCAGGGCTAAAGTAGGAGAGATTATTTGTAACCTGAATCAGGTTTCCCAGTCCAGTGCATCTGAGATAATGCTGGGCTGACAGACTAAAGAGGTCAGTGCAGGGTCAGTTTGTGGCCCGAGCTGGCCTCTTTCCTGAAGGGCTTCCTGACCTGTGCTGCCTTGTTGGCCTCTAGGAAACAGAGAGGTAACCTCAGGGTGAGTCCTCAGAGCTGGGTGAGTGCTGTATCCTTGAGTGACCAGTGTCCCTTCATTCCCAGCAGCAGTGAAGGGAATGTGGCTTGGTGTTTATCAGGTTCAATTTTGCACAGGGACTTTTAGATCTGTAATGGCAACAAACCTTTAAAATATTTGTCATCTGTTATTCCATTTCATCTTTACCAAGGTAGCATTAGAATTGGAATGGCAGCCCTAAAGTAAGTTTGGTTGACAGTTGTAAAATGTTCTAAATAATCACTAAGACCTAACAGTTCTGGATTAAATTTTAGCCATAGTGAGAATCCTGCTCTTTGTGGTTTGGAGAGTTAACCCAAGGATTTCACAGGGTGCTAAAAATTTTAAGGTTTAACTCTGTTTGCTTGAACAAGTTATTTGTGTGTGGTTTGGTTGTTCTTTAATTGGTTGAAATCTGTTCTTTGTGCACAGGTACTCATGATCAAGTAGACAATTTGTGAGTTTCACAGTATTTCCCACTGTGCAAATGTGAGGTGCTTATTGCATTTTGTCATGCCTCAGTAATATTCCAAATGGACAGGGTACTGGGGAGATGATATAAGAATGGCACTGAAATAATACATGGAAATTCTTACTCCTGAAGATTCTTAATGTGCTTAGCAATGTGCATGGCTTCTCTTAACTTCTAATGCTCTTGAAGCATAGGAAATAAATGCTTTGAGCAAACTGCATTCAGTTTAGTCTGAACTCAGTAGTTTTGTCTGCTGAGTGGTGGAACAAATCCTGTTTATATTCATTCCCTGGTAATAACTGGTGCCACAGAAGTATTCTGGAATGTTTTTTAATAACCTTCTTGAGCAGATACATGGAAGAGAGGAGAGAAGTTTCTTGTGGATCCAGATCAATGATTCCCTGTAGTAGGACAAAGGCTTGTTTAAAAGACTAGACATGGATGAACTGGGCTTACAGGCCACTTCCGAGAGGGATTTAATACAGTGCACGAGTTCATACTGTCAATAGTTGCATTTTGGATAGTTCTGTGATGTGAGATTGTGTAACTGGAAAAATGACTCTGATGTTCATTTGGGAAGGAGCAGCTTCTGGTAGTTTACAATGCTTTTGTTTCATGACCAGTTTTCTTCTTCTTCTTTGCCTTTATGAGGAGGAGAAGTAAACATCAGTAGCAGAGGAATTCTACATTGCACAGCAAGAAAAGGAGGCTGTCAGGTTTGATACAGAAGATCCTCTTAAGGACACACCAAAGGGAACATCCAAACAGTCCATGTGTAGTGAACAGTAAAATGGGTGGAAAGGATCAGACAGTGGTATTTTATCTATAGTTTTTAAGTTGAAAGTGCTCTACCATGCTACAGCTGTATGTAATTCTCCAGGGTAATTCTAAAGCCCCAGCCTGTGCCTGACCATTCTTTTTTTTTTCACTCAGAGAAGGATCTGTATCAATAGTTGCTTTTGTTGCAGCGAGATTCCTCTTGAATGTCCTCTTTCCACGTCTTTCTGTATTTTTCTAGGGCTTTAGAAGATTTTCAGTGAACAGGTGTTGTGCACTGTGAAAGTGAGTAGGTCAGGGCTTTTGTGGGAAGTCAGACCTACAGATTGAATGTTTTTATGCAGGGATTTAATGTGTGCTAATGGCCCTGATGAGGCCATGCCATACAGATCTGCTCATCTGTGGAAAGAAGCTGTGTGTCCCACTGCCAGGAAAGCAGGTAGGTTTGGTATAAGACATTGAGAAGGCCTAGATTCTAAACTGCTGAAAATTTCTGTTATTCTTTGACTGACTGTGTGGTCATAGATTCACAGAATGGTTGAGGTTGGAAGACACCTTAAGATCATCGAGTTCCAAGTCCCTGCCACGGCAGAGGCACCTGTCACTATACAGCAGATTGATCACAGCCCCATCCAGCTTGACCTTGCACACTTCCAGGGATGTCCACAACTTCTCTGGGCAACCTATTCTGGTACCTCATCACCCTCCCAGTAAAGAATTTCCTTCTGAAATATAATCTAAACCTGACTTTTTTGGTGTACAGTCATCATCCCTTTGTCCTAACACCACATACCCATGTAAAAAGTCCCTTTCCAACTCTTCTGTAGACCCCTTTAGGCAGTGGGCTGCTGCTGGATATCTCCCTTGGAGCCTTCTTTTCTCCAGGCCAAACAACTCCCCCTTTCTCAGCTTCTCTCAGCACAGGGGAGGTGCTCCAGCCCTCTGATCTTCTTTATAGCCTTCTGGACTCACTCCAGCAGGTCCTTGTTGTGCTTATGGGAGACCCAGAGGTGCATGCAGTAGTCCAGGTGGGGTCTCAGGAGAGCCAAGTAGAGGGAGAGAATCTCATCTCTCAACTCACTGTATGCATCTCATTTTTTTGTCAGATACCTCCTTTTTCTACCCTTCATTTGACTTGTTTATTTGGATAATATAACTATTAAATTCTCTGTTGTCTGGACAACAGCTTGTTGTTGACAACCTTGATGTTAGCCTGTAAGCATTGCTGTAACGTAAGCAGCCAATTCACAGAGAGAAATAATGGCAAGAAGATGAAATAAAAGGAAAAGCCATAATAAAAAAATACATGAAAGAGCAAGACAGTATTGTCTATGCATGTGTTGGAAAGCCAGGGTTTCTGTATGTTAGGTTAAAAGCTTTCTTATTAATATCTGGAATTTCAAAGGATATCCTGATATGATGCCCAAGGCTTCATGCTGAGAAAATGGCAAAGTTGTTTTGTTTTTTTTTTTTTTCTAAAACCAGTATCGGTTGATTCTGGAAGTAAACATGTGCTCCTTTTGCTGCAGTGATATAATTCTCTGTATCTACTTTGCTTTTAAGGAAAAGAGTTTTTAACCCCATCATGATAATAATGATACACAATGCCTGATCAGGACAAAAAGTTGAAGAGCACAGCAAAAGCAATAAAAACAAAAGCCTTCTGGGATCTCTATGAGGTGTAGTATCTGACGTTTTACTTTGAACTTCAGTGGGACTCGTGTGGAATTTACACTGGCTGCCAAAGCAGAATGCTTCAATTTGAAGTGCAGTATAAACATGACAACTGTTACTCTGGTCACAAAGTTTATTTACACCTATGTTGACTTAAGGCATTCTGGAGAAGCTGTGAATTCTGCTGTACGCAAAAGTGGACACCAGGCAACGCTAGAAAACTTTATTTTCTGTCAGTGGCATTGTTGCTTGTTGACCTTTTTTACACTTATGGAAATACTTTTATGTAACTATTAACGCACACTGTTGTGGTTTTTTCCTAGGGATTATTCTGATCTAAAAGGGCTTCAGTCTCTCTTAAGTGTTCAGTCAAGGAACCAACAGGTATTTTTCAATAACTGTTATTAAATGTGCTTTAGAATTATAATTAATGGTGATTATGGTTTCTGGCATGTGCTTAGAACATTATGTACTATAGTGACTAAAACATGTTAGCAAAATCTTGAATGGAAGATGTCTTTCATCTTATCTCTTTTTTCTTGGCAGCATTAGACCTTCTGTGTGGCACAAATCACATTTAGAATGGGTAAAACCACGAAACTGATCTATTTCCCATTCTACTACACCATATTTTTTATTTTAACAGAAAAAAAATTGCTTTATTTTGTATCTTGAGCAGGTTTTATCCAGTTATTGTTGCATATATTAAAGTAGCATAGCAGATTTTTTTTCCTCTGTGCCCTTTCGCAATGTCACACGAAGGTAGGCTTAAAGATGTGTGAGTAACAGCATGGGGGAGAGTGGTACAGAATATAAAATAAGATCAGCATTTTAACCATAAACAATTTGTCTTTGAAGAATAACACCTCAGCTAAAAATATCCAGGGCTTAAATACCAACTTACAGGAGAAAGTCAAATCTCCTTCACCTCAGCTCACTTAGTGAAGCTTGTATTTGCCATTTGAAGCAAAGAAAACCAACACATGATTATGGGTGTGAGTCTGGAATCACAGAACATTTTCTCCCTTTCAATTCTGTAAAAAGATATGACAAAATGACTAAAGGATTCATCCATGTGAGGTAGGAGTTACGCACTTTCTACCTGGTTAGAGGCCTGGAATTGCTTCTGAGCAGAAAGCTGAAACATGTGAGTTGTACAACCTAAAAAGAATGTGAAGACTGTGCAGTTGTGGAGTTGGGACAGGTAAGAAACACAGATAATGAGCATGTGTTGCAGATTTTGTCAAGCTTTGCTATCATAAATTTAAAAAGATGTCATTCTTCACATTTTACTTACCTCTCAGTACTTGTTTTTCAGTCTTGCTTTGCATCAGTTTTCTACCACGTCAGTGTTGTTTTCCAGAGGAGGTGTGTGTTTTCTAGAATGGCTAGTTTTAGGTCCAAAGTTCAAGTCAGAACTTGAGAAAACGTACTTTGGCATGATAATATTCTCAGAAAACTTAAATTGCAGCATTTGCCTCATGACTACTATCCCTTCCCTCTTTAGCTTCCAGCTAGATATATTGAAAGTGGTCAAACTAGTGTGACAAGAACTTGGCAAAATGTCAAAAGCAATGAACAGCAGTCCAATGGTCAATGCCAAGCATCAACAGAAGCTGTTGAGCTTGAGAAATTTAGGTAAAAATAATTTAAAGCCGATGATGACACACTCATATCCCTGAACGAGAGATACCTTTATGTATCTAACAGTATCACCTTGTTGAGGTGTTGAAGGCATTTGTATTTTTACATATGTACTATTTACTTGTACTTTTCATGTTAATCCAGTATTTCAGATGAGAATTACGTACTTCAAATTTTCAAACCTGTTTATGTTCCTGCCTTTGTAAGTTTCAACCTTTCCCACTCAGCAGAGTATACTAGTGAGAGTTAATAAACTCATTTAAAATGTGATCATTTCTTTATTTGGAAAAGTTATACCATTCTGATAGTCCCAAATTATGCATGAGACAGACTGTTAATGTCTGGCAATCTGAAATCGTGTTATTCTGTGGTAACTGCTGGTATGACATTTCTTACTTTTTGTTGCTAGTTTTAAGTTGTAGCAGAGCAAAACTATCTTGTAGCAAGTTAAATTGTAATTCACCATTTTTCTTTTTTTCTTTCTTTTTAGTGTGACCTACAAGAATGAGAGAAATTTTAGCAAGATCAGTATATGAAGCACATTCATAACCAAGCAGGCAGAGTACTTTATTGCGTTCCATGAGGAAGCAAGATGTGTGGATAATATCCCATATTGTTACAACAACACACATTTCTGTGGATATTACCAGCAGCACTTGTGGTTGTTTTAATTAACCACTTTTGTATTGGCTTTGAGGAGCAGTGGCCAGGTTAGTGGGGCAGAAGAACACAGGACTGGGTGTATGACAAACCTTGGATGACCAAAATCCTAACTGCTATGTTTTCTTGATCATTCATCTGTACATGGTGTCTGTAATCTATTATTTGCTTTTCTAATTTATTGTCCTGATTCTATTTGTATTTTATGGACTGCTGCCTCTATAGTGAAAGGCCCGTGGTTTCCATAAAATTCAGATGAGTTGATTACACTTGTTTGTGTTTATTTGTATTTCTGTGTATGACAGGATTGGAAAAGGTAATACCTTTTCGTATGCTGTTCTCATTTGTGTGAGGAAAAAGTACAGGTCCTTACAAAAATAGAGGGGGCAGAGAAAGATATTTTCAGGGGAAAAAAGATGTATTTTCTAGATTTTTTTTTTACTATTCTCCTTTGCAGTGTATTGTATTTTCCTTTTTAAAGCCCGAATACATTTTCTAAAAAACCCTTAAGTGGTACAGAAGTTTAAAGATGGAATCCTCAAGCACTTAAAGGTATTAATATGCTACTACTAGAGGAATTTAAAAACATCACATGGTTTGCTTGTACCTTTATTCACAACCAACTGGGGAACTAGGGGTGTCTTCTTTGATTATCTAAATGACAGTGAGTTTAAAACAGATTATTTAAGTGGTTTTTAAATCTGGTACCTCTTTTTTACATGTGAACTCAGTATTCACCAGTGGGAGGTCAGTGGCTCAGCTTCATTTGCCAGAAATCCAAGAATAGCTTACACTGTGATTTCCCAAGTTCTGTTTATACATTGTGACATACTTGGCTTATATTTTGGTTTTCTTTGGTGTTCTTTGTGATAGTGATATTGCAAAACAAGCCTCTTGTATTAAGAATGAAAGCACCCAGGCAAGGTTGGTGAAACAAGCATAAATTAGTAGATATGTAGATAAGCTGGATATACCCTGGTGTGTCTAGTAATGTGTGTTGTAAATGTAACTGTAGTAGGAGGGGCTCTCAAATGTTAATCAGGCTCAGGGAGTGACTGTCGACCATGGTAATATCTTCAGGCCACTTTAAAATCTGACCTACAAATTTTGCATGCTGTTTTCTTTCCATGAAAGTTTTGTGCTGTTCTGAAGTAGCCAATTATGGAATCATAATGATAAATGGTATTACTAGGGCAGAATATTGGCATAAAAGGGCTGAGAGTTTGTTAGTATCTATTTGTAAAACATTTATTTTTATGGAATTATTTTTAGCTGTTGGCATCATTCCCAACTGCAAATGATGAAATGGGAAGAGAACTGCCATGACCCATACACTTTTTCTGTTTCCAAGAAACCTATCCAAACAAATTTTGTCCTCTCAGTTAAAACAGCAACAAAAAACACATGGCAAAGATGTCTAATTTTAGGTTTATTTTAAATAGGAAAATGGGGATATATACTTTCAACAGGCAATGGAAATAGTGATTCCTTTACTGGTATTTTGTGCAGGATTACTGCCCCTGGACACTTTCTGCAAATCTGATTTGTATTTTCTGCCATGTCTTATGCTGGTGAATCATATGGAGAAATATAAAGGAAGAAGTTGTATATCAAAATACAATCCTACTTCAAGAACATTTGAACTAAATAACAATTTATTTCTAGCATAATACAATTAGAATTTTTAAAAGCCAGGATAGATTATGAAAATTCAAAAGAATATTTTTAATATAGCTATTTTTACTTCTGTAGCACCCATATTTTTGTATAAGTGTATTTTGTGCACTGAAGTTTGCTCTGTGGTTTCTCATTTACTTTGCTCTTTTGGGCCTCAATTCAACCACTAAAAGTTTATATCAAAGCACAGTTAGTTTGTTCTTACAGATGTGCATGTACTTTCCCTCATCAGTGCAGTGATAATAAGTCATGGCTGGTAATGCTCATATAATGTAATCAATTTATTTACAGCTGCCACTGTGATTCAGTATAAATGGTATTAAAAGTTCTATGGTATAGTATGTTGAGCAGTTGTTGTAGCTCACTAATGATCTAGTCAATTGATCCTGAATCAAACTGTTTTAAGTATTTAAACACTTTTTAAATTGCATTTGATTTATGTTTTAAATATTTAATTTACAGGCAATGGGTTATTCAAGCTCGGTGCACGCATTTTATTAGATTTTATTAATCTGCCTGAGATTATTAATAAGAGATCCATGCTACCAGGTCAGTATGTCAAAACGTTTCTTGCTTGGATAAGGGGATGCTTGTAAGTGCCACGTGTACAGTTGTGTTGGTGCTTGTGTATAAAAACGTTTGTTCTTATGAATGCACATGTACATGTATGCATGTATATTTCTGTATGTGAGGATGGGAATTGCAAACAAACTGATTTCAAGGGTGATTTTAAACCATTACTGTATAACTTGCTCAATTTCTGTTGTTCTTTATGTCATGTCTGTTGTTGCTGACCCTAACAAGGAAACTGTAAATCTCCATAACAGATGGCTTGGTCATTGCTCTGAGCCCTAGACTTGGTATTTGACTTTATCACAAAGATATGTAAAATTCCCATAATGTAGTTACTGAAGGAAACGGAAAGCTCCAGTTTAAGAACCTTTAACATTCCACCTCTGTGTTTTTATTTATCTACTTATTATAAGTAATTCTGAAGATTTTTTTTTTTTTAAATTTTCCTGTAGGAAATGCTCCACAGCCTGGGTGGAATTGAAAATCTAGGTCAAGTAGAATTTCTCATAGTACCTTTGTCTTTTATGTTGCCTGTCAGTTTATTATGATTAAAATTATATATACTGTAAAAAGCAGTGTACAGATATTCTTGGTTCATGGAAAGAAGTGAGTCTGTTTCTCTGTTTTCACATGAGAAGTTGGTGTGGGTTTTTTCACTAGTTTTCAAAACAACTGTCCTATAATCTCGCTGCATTCATCTAGGATTTCTAGTTAGGAGACTTCAGAAATGCCTCCTGAAGTGGGAGAAGAATTAGAAAAGTCAGCGCAATTGGTTCAGTCAAAAGAAACTGTAGACTTTTGAAGGGAGATGAGCAAAGTCACCCTGCACTGTAGCAAATGACTTTTCAAAGGGAGAAGCATCCTGATAATTTATTTTTTAAATGTTGAAACAGGTTTAAACCTTGTGGCTACACCACTATTGCATTACAGAATTTTTTTCATGAAACAGATGCACCACCTACAGGCTCTACCTGTGAAGAACAGTCTAGGTTTATGAAGTCTGCAAACTTTTTTGTCTTAATGGTATCCTTTATTTTTCCTCCCCTTCTTGTATATGGAAACAGTAGCAAATCGTTATCTTAATTACAAGGAAGAGCAGCGCAATGTAGACAAGTTGGTCAACATGACATGTAGGTGCAGTAGCTGTTAACAGAAATCATAAGGCTACCCACAACTTTTTGTGTGATGCTTAAAATGTTTAAAATACTTCAGGTTGTCATTAAGTAACACAGTAGTATATTTACTGTAGGCATCATCACATGAGTAAAAGCTAAAATTCCTGTAGAAGGGAGCAACTTGTTTTTCTACATAAGTAATATTTCTTTAAGAAATCACTATCTTTTTAAGCATTGAAATAAAAGAGTAAATTGTGCTAGTTATGGTTCAAAGAAGTTATACAGTATTTTTCTCTGTTATCTGACTGGTAAAATAAAAATATTAGTGAGAAAGAGTCAATTTGTGTGTCTTCCTTTGTTCCATGGGTATTTTCCAAAACCTTGCTGCTGTTAGAAATCAAAGAGAATGACTTATAGCAAGTGCTTTTATAGAGCACATAAAGTAAGTGCTCTATAAAATTGTTAATTTGATTTAATTAGCTGCGTAATAGAATAACACATGCTTTAGAGATTTGACGTAGGTGGGAATAAATTCCTTATCTTGTCAGTCTTGTAAGGTAAGATAATCTCTGTGTTTTAGAGATGTATTAATAGTATCATAAAAAGAAGTTCTTCTCTGTAAGTTAATTGGTCTGATGTATGATTATTGGCTGTTTGAGATAAACAGATTGTAAACATTTGAACTAAACACTTGTTCTATAAAAAGTAGTGCTCCTGTATACACTGTCCTGAGCTACACTTTACTGTGATTCAAATAGTTTTATATATTTTTAAAATGTAAATATATTCTAAAATTTTCTTGCACAAATTTCTGCTGTGGTTTTTCACTTGTAAAGTATTATGTGTCTAAATATTCTGTGTCAACCCAAACATCCATTACTATACATTACCATCAGTCTAAGATTCTGTAATTAACTGTTGCTGGTTTGTGGCTAAACTGAGATACAGTTGAGATCAAAATCAGTATAACTAGGGTTTCATGATTCTGTCATGCTGCAGAAAAACAAAGGCAATTGTGATCATATGCAGACAACCTATTTTTAGAGAATCTAGACAAATACAGAGTTTACTTAGATATTAATCATGAACAGAAATGCAGACAGGGCCTTAAATTACTATGCTGTTTAAATATAAGCTGAATATTAACTTTTTACTTTAGGAGGCCTGAGTTAGTGTTCTGAAGCGTTACACAAAACAAAATTTTTACAATGGTGTAATAGAGACATTTTAGCAGTCAAAGAGATACTAATTGTAGTTTGAGAAGAAACATCCTTGATTGTCCTAATGGGTGTATTCTAAGATTTTAGTGTATATTTAAGTGTACTTTAAATGACTTTTAACATATTGTGTAAGGACTTGCTACCTTAATTTTTACATTTCATTAAATATTTCTATATGTTTCTGAGCCGTAAAATAAAGTAATATACTTTATATTTACACAGAATCATACATTTACTTACCTTTTTTTTTTTCTTTTTTTTCCACACCTTGGTAAATTTATTATCTGCCAGAGACAGTTATGTGTTTTTGGTGCCCTCCTTGCTCCTACTAGCTTAGTAGAATGGTAGGTTCAACTTAATGTGCTATAATTAACAAAAGTTTTTTAATGTTTTCTCTTGACAGAATATTAAAATTGCTCTTTATGAGGAAAAATTAAATGTTCTTAATTTTATATTGAAGCAATAGAAACTACATAGAAACTTTGGTCTTTGCAGCAGACTTCTTGTTCATGTGGATGGCTCTGCAATACTGGAATCACAGAATCTGTTTTTTCAATCCTCATGCAGGATTCTGGAATTCCTATTGACTTCCTGCATATGAAAGTCATCTGTCCTCAGCTTAATATAACAGTGCCTCACAATAATCAGGTAGAATATTGTTCAGTGTAGTAAATAATAAACTCATGCAGTCAAATCCATGTATATGTGCCCTCTTCTCATTAATTAGTGGTAAATAAAGATTAAAAGAGAAAAAAAGAGCCAAAAGCGGGACAGAGCAACTTTCATCTGTAATGGTATTATAGAAGAAAAACTGCTGTTATTGATCTGCTGTCTTCCAGACTTCCCAAAACTCTGATTCAGTTTAATTTGGTTCTGATATCTGTGTTAATTTAAATGATGTTGTACATACATTTTCAACTTCCATTTAACTTTCTTCACTGAATGGAATGTAAGATTTTGTGTTACATTTGGACTGGGCAATAAAGAGTTTGTGGTATATTACAAATGTTCATAGAAATTGTGGTTGTTTTTAAAAATTAATTTCATTTCCTTAATTATCAGTAAGACACAAAATTTAGTTGTGTCTTTATTTTTACACATTCACATTTACTTTTTTTTTGTACTAGGAAAACTGGAAAATTGTTGCACTATTTCTCTTGACCCAGCATATATTTGTGGCTTTAGGTGCTTGTGTGCACAAGTTGATATTATTACTTAAGACTTGGGGGAAAAATAATTCATCAAATGTACAAAGAAGGAGGCTAAAGAGCAATGTGTGTTTTTCATATAATTTCATCTGATATAAATGCCAGGAATAATCAACTTGTAGTCCAGAATGTAGAGAGGAGATAAGTGAGATTGTTGAGAACTTGCTGGTGATATTACATGGATATGATTTTCTCTCTAACGGGTGAGAGTTTTTGTGTGGATTAATTATGTTAAAATAAATTTTGACTTTTTTGTTTAAGGATGCGTGTATTTAGAGGAATTAGAAAACATGACACTTTAATATAACCAAGGTCAAATTCTGAAACCTGAGCATTTTCAGTCACATACTGATACAGCAAAATCTTTTCCAGTAGTTTCATTGTAATCCATCTTCTCTCTCTCTCCACTGTTGGCCTCCAGTTGCAAATGAGTTACAATGTTATCATAAAGTGATAGCAATCACTTTTCTTGGTCCATCTCTTCCTTGCTCCTGGCAGACTTGAGGGAAAGCATGCTGAGCCCTGACAGTTCCTGGGATGCCCAATATAAATGAGTAAAATTGCAAGACCTAGAGCTGCTGTAGTTTATGCCAGAGGCTGAGTCAGATTCCAAATCCTCTTCATCAGAAAATCATCAATGTTCCTTCAATTGTTTAATCATCTCAGCTAAGACTGCTAGCAAAGCATTACTGAATTTTAGTGAGAAACAAAAAGACTACCAAATTTGATAATACATCACTTATCACCTTTAAAATTCTGAAGAGGTTTTAAAAATTTCATGCTTAACTATTTCACACATATAAGTGACCTTATATGTGACTAAGAATAGACAAAATTAATATATGAAAAGGTTTTATTTAGTTTTTTGTGTCAGAAAATGCTGGGCCATATGTAAATCAAAAGTTAGATGTAAGAGTTAGAATTTGATTGTAGACAGGAAGTTCAGTGGTGAAGTTCAGTGCCAGTTAAGGATAATTTTATATTCAGATATGAATCTGAATTCACATGTTTCATTAAACACACATGGAGCTTTTTGCTTCAAGTGGAAATGGATATCCCTAACCATATTTTCTATGGGAAGTCCACCTTCATTGCAGTTAATGAAAGTCTTATAAAAACCTTTTAAGATATATATCCAATCGCTTTCTAAATATAATATTCAAACTATACTAGAGAAGAATGATGCATTTTTGTGTTATCTGTGGAACTAGGCTATTTGAGTTCCACAGATGCACTTAACAAGTCCATGCAATCAGTGCTACCTTGTACTACTAATGCCATTAATAAGAAGATGGTAGCACAGATAACTGCAGCCCACCTGGCCACCTCCCAACCTGGCTGGGGATGCCTGGTTTTTTGGGGTTTTTTTTGGGTTTTTTTTTTCTTTTCAATAGGAGATCTCTGTTCTTTTTTAAACTTCCTGTGTTTTTCCCCTTTTCTAACTGACAATACAAAGTAGTGATGGAGTTATTGTTGAAATTTCTTGCTGATTTTTTTTTTAGGTTCAGAATAGAGTTGCTATGACTCCTTTGTGCAGAGTCACGAGTCAAAGAGCAAATAAAAATGTACAAAGGAATTCCAGTCTTGCTCAGTTTGCTCCATTCTGATCGCATCAAAATTCTATGGAGTGTAGTTTGGATTCTGGTACAGGTTTGTGAAGCTCCTGAGACTAGTGTGGAAATTAGGATCTGGGGTAGAATCAAGCAGCTCCTTCATATGTTACAGGAGTAGGTTTTCAGTCCTCAACATTGTGGCAATTGTATAAGACTGTTTGTTCTTTTAAGATATATTTGACCAAGCCCTGTTTTATGAAAGAGCATCTTTGGCTTGTTCAGCTGTAGGTGATACCAGCAAAATTAAAAAGACTATTTAGAACATAATGAATAAGCAATATGTTTTCCAGCCTTTTGTATTTCATTGTTATCCTAAGGTGTTTTTCATATTTTTAATGTGTAAACTAAATAATGAATAAGTCATAAATATGGCATTACTGTCTGTTTAGTTCTCCTATTAATCAGACACCTATTTAGTGAGCTAGAATTGTGAATATAATTGATGAACATGGTAAAGGAATTTTCTGTTTAAAGGCTTCTTTTCTTTTTCAAAGTGTTAGCTAATTTAGTGAAAACATACACATTTTCAGAACTTCATGAATGGTTAACAAACACATATTAAGCCATTTTTAACACTGCAACTGCAGCAGGGAGAATCCAGTATCTTCATTTGTCAGATGAACTGAGTCCTGATGAGATACAAGAAAATACTTTCTCACTTCAAGCAGGTAGGTTTATAAGGTCTAGTACTCTGTTATGTCTTTACATACACTTGTGCAAAAGGATTAAAATATTACAAATTTGTAAATAATTACACCTGCTTTAGGGAGTAGGAGCATCAAATTGGATTTGTTTATTTTCAAATGAGTGATACCAGCACTTATTTTCAAAAAGTATACTTTTGTTAGAAGGAAGCAAAACATAAAGTATTAAGAATCTGGGAATCATATGTATTTCTTCACCTGTAAAAACAGTGACAAAAGAGTTATTTATTTATTTAGTTAGTTAGTTAGTTAGTTTTGTGTTTAGTATGAAATTATTTGATCATACTTTTCTTCACTATTTATATTTTCTATGAAATATCAATATGAATCATATGATTTCAAAGTGGTATTTCAATGACTTGCATTTAGGTGAGGATTCATTTGTAGTTGTGGAGCAAATTCCTTTTGGAGGAGATTTCTCAATAGAGTCAAATGGCCCTAAATGTTACTTCTGGATTTTTATTCTAGCTAGTTGTGCTGCAATTACTGAACTAGTGCTCAATGAGAATAATGCTTACTAGGTTGTACAGGTAGGAAGATTTTATTCAGTAAAGTTTATAATTTATAAATTATAGTTTATAATTTCACTTAATTGTTGTTCTTTGTTATCATAATTTAAATATGCCTATCTATAACTTTAGTACTTCTGTTTCTTTATCATTTTACACACAGAGACATAGACACAAATGTTATCAACATAGGTGTCTGGAAGAATAAACAGCTTTATTCAGACAAGGTTCATTTTGGCATCTCTTACTATGCTTTTGTCATATTCAAAATAGAACAGTAAATAAAAGTAATCATAGAATAAATTGAGAAATGCAAATTCTGAATTTCTTGATGTTTATTACAGAAAGCTGTGCAGCTAAAAATTGACATGTCGCTGTTTCACAAACTATTTCTCTTTTCGTAAGAGTGTGATATTTCTGAGAGAACTTCCTAGCATTCTGTCTCCAGGGATAAACCATTCTTAAAATTCTTGGCTAAAATCCAGACCTAGTCAAAGATATAAATATTAAGGGCATTAATATCAGCTAAAGGCTGTGGCCAGCTGTTAAACTATAAATGTTAAATCAAAACCTTCAAGTTAGCTTAAAATCCAACTAGAGGTATTCCTGGAGGAACCAAGAGAACAAAAACCTTAAATATGAACAGGAAAGAAGTTTGTGAATATTTCAAAACCATTGGTTAAGAGAAAAATGAAAGTAAGTCTAGAAAAAAAAAATTATTATTTTTGCCCACTAGAATTGTCACTGAACTTGACTGATTTAGACAACTTTTATCTAAACAGTATAATGATATATTTTATGCTGAGACTGATTTCAGTAAAATAAAATATCACTTGTTTAAATTAAATGGATTTAACAGAGAGGTTTTCTGCATTGCCCCAACAGTGCATGGTGATTGTTCTGTCAGTAAATCACTTAAAAATTGATGGTACAATGTGCAGAGCTGAAAAAGGTGTTTCAAACTTAACTTCCTCTGCTCATTATGTCAAAAGACACAGACCTCTCAATTTGTTTAGACACCAGCCAACATCCCCCTTTCAAATCAGGACATAGCCTCAAGCATGTTCTTTTCAACTGGAGTTCCAGCCTCCAATACCACTGTAGTAATTTTAAATCCTACCTCTTTCTTTTGCTAGTATAACTTCAAGAGTTGCATAGTGAGCAAGGTGAAGCAACTCACTTGGGTTAAAACAGAGGGAAAGGTGTGCAGCTTTTTCAGTTATGTGCCAAGGAGGTCAATCTGAGTAACCTGTAAAGTTTTATATCCTTGCTGTCAAAGGGCTCTTGGGAACTTTTGCTTCTGTTGTAGCTGCTGTCTACCTGTCTGTCTGTCCTCTGTCCTTGTCACAGCCTTAGCAACAGTCTGCAGTAATTCTGGTAGCAGACAGAATGTATTTGATCTATGGCTCTACTGCACAGCCCAAAACCTAAGCTTAACCATGGTCTAAGCTTAATTCTACCTTCCTGAACGGTAGAAGATAACATCAGGATCTGCAGAAGGGCTTCTGCAGAGCTGACACAAGTCTGCTAAAGAGGAGACTAGTGTCCATCAGGGACCTTGTCAAGTAACTGGGAACAGTACTCCACCTAAATCTACCAGTGCCCATCTGTCAGACCTACCAAGTGGAGAGAATAGTGGAGGATACATGGTTGCATGAAAATGGAAGCTGAATTCAGTATGGTTTTCACAAAATTCTGGAGGCATGGATGAACTTCTCAGGTTATCACTTTTGGTGTTTCTCCAATTTATTTTTATTAAGACTTGAATTTTGTTTGTGACAATTCAAAATATGGTGCCACATGGTGACAGGAGATCTATTGCTGCAATTTCCTTCACCTATAGAGATAGAAGCATTTCTTCTTTATCTGTTCACAGGCTCTCTTTGTGGTATCAGTTTAAATGTAACAATGATTTAATTCTTATACATGTTTAAGCTTATATTTTAGGTGTGCAATAGGATGTTGAGAACATGTCCATTGCTATTAGCTTCTGATTTATCTGAACATTGATTTTTATTTGTGGTTTGCATGCAAAGGGGCATTATTAATGCTGACCTTTTTCTGTTTCCATGCAAATGCAATATATACAATAGCAAAGCTAATTTTATCAAACAAAGAAAGGAATGCTGAAAAAGCCAGTTTATTACAGGTAACTCCCTTTATTATCATTGCACAATGAAAGCCCCAACAGTCCCTGAGAATTTTTTATGAATGAAAGTTTATTTTGGAGTACAGTAGAAAAAAAATCATATTTAAAGGGGAAACCCCTACACCAAAACAGTAGCCCAGGAACTGAAAGTTAGAGACTCAATTTCTGTTCTGATTTACTTTGTTTCTGGCACCTCATATAGTGTAAAGGAAAGTCAATATTTTTCTTGTGATAATCTTTCCTCTACTTTTTCAGGCTGTCTAGCATCAGACCTTTATAGAGCCTTGATATTCATTGAAACTTGCCCTAGACTTGACACTCTACTAATATCTGTTTATTTCTGGAGCATTTTCTCTGGATGTTAAATATACATGAAGTCAGTGTATAAAATACAGAAAATTTAAGTGTAGAATAAATATAGGCCGAATAAGCATAGAATGCCTCTTGGTTTTGCATGCCATTGCCCCTGTAAATGTACTGGTTAGAGTCAACTTAGGCTAAAGGTCATCAATAGTAATTAACTAATTACCTGGTAGCTTTTCTCAGGCTCTGTACAGTGGTGTCTCTCTAAGATATGGGAATGTAGTGCTCAGGGGTTCAGGGATTGTGGATTCTCTGTATTTTCCACCTCTGTCAAGGTAGGGATTGAAGGCACTTGAGACAGTATTTCATGTCCAGACTCAGGTGTTTATTTTTTCTTGTAAGTGTAACAGCCTCACAACCATGAGTCCTGCAGCCTTTCATTAGCAAGGCACAGAATGGCTAACTATCTCTTGTTCCAAGGTCTTTTAAGACTAAACTATCCAGTTAAGAAATGACACCTAGATTATTTTCCCTTTTAACCCAATAACTGATCCCTCTAAGCCCACAATGTGGACTTTTCTGTCCAATTACAAAATACCACCCAAACTGTTAAAGAAGAAGGTGAAGAAGAGCAACCTGCCTCCACCCAAAAATTTCCATCTTGCTGCATATTTATTACTATATTCTAAAACCCCAAACTTTAAGTTTTCCACCCTGTGATATTGCACGCTTCTAACCAACTACACACCTGTAATCCCAGTGCTGTTAATCAAATTTGGAAGTCTTCTCCACAGCCTCAGGTCAAATGCAGTGATCTCTTGCAAGTCTGTGCCTTTCAGCACAGAAAGTTTAAAATTCTCTGCATCCAACATTCCAACAAGGGATGAGCACAGCTGCTGCTGCTGTAGTTGGCCAAGTCCTTAGCACAGCTGCATGCATTCATGATCCTGCCTCTCACATGGTCTTTGTTCTGACATAGCCCCTAAAATGTGTGTATAGCTACTCCACTAGCTAATCAGGTAGGTGTGCTTGGATAGCAAAGAAAGGCACTTCCACGAAAAAAAAAAAAAAAAATCATTCTACTGCCATCTGTCTCAGCACAGTTCTTCTAGACTAGAATTGGAGGGCAGATTCAGTACAGTTGGTGCCTTTCTACTGCAAGGAGATTTTATAGTGCCCTTCATCTTAAGGATGAGATAAATACAAACCTTCCTGGTGGGTAGGTATATGGAACTAACATCTAGTCTAACAAACTGGAGGATATGCTCAGTATAGTTGCCTCACACAACTGTAAGGAGCTTAATTTATGCCCACTGGGGTTTTTAGATTCCAGCAGAATGTGTAGGAAATAACTCACAAGAGCTACCAAGCAGCTGTAGTTGGGTTGAACATGAAGCCATATGAATTAATAATGGGCTTAATGATCACATATGAAAACTAAGTCTGTTTTGGACAAGAAGTTTATGGAACCTTGTTCAGCTTCTCATGCTGCTACCTGCATTGCCTTTGAAAATATTACTGGGATGAAATAGAGTTGCAGATACGGGAATATCCTTTTGGAGTTTCACAGATATTTTTCTTGGAATATTTGCAGTGCTTGTGTGGTTTCTCTACTGACCCATTGTGTGTTTTCAATGATGAAATTTTCATCTTCCTTCTGCCATGCTACCTTAGTGATCTTAATTCATGACAGTCTTTGTTTGCTCAGCTATAAATCTGCTATATCATTGGGTCTTGACAAATAGAGCTAGAGATGAGTTGCATCAAAGCATACATATTAGCCACCCGCCAGTAGCTGTTTTAAAGGTAAGTAAAAACCTTAAACCTTCATAGTTTTAAGAAGTTGTATTTGTGCATATTCTTAGCACAAGACAGGCATGAAATATTTTAAATTTATTTATTTGTCATGTAATTTATGACTAGGAGGATGTATTGAAGCAAATTGCTGAAAGTACTGAGAACATGAATCAGAATAAGGCACCCACAAATCATGTAGGCAATGATGCAATTTTAGAGCACCTTGGCAGTGGAGCTTTTGGAAGAGTATGTAAGGCCAACCTTTCTTTTGCTATTATTTTACAGACTTGAGGAGAAGCTTCATGAAGAGGGTCTAATACCTGTTCTAGGCACAACTGTCTTTTGAATTTTAGTTGGAAAATGTAGGTGCAAAAAGACCTTTGTGGATCTGAGCTTGTTGTTAGTGTTTGCTGTGATTTTGTTTGTTCTATGTTGTACTTTTATGATTGACCAGTGTATCTCTTAGGTTTCCTACCTTATTTTCTCTTAATTCCTTTCCACTAACAGCATTTGTCTATTGCAAAGGCTAATCAACCTGTGTAAAACCACAAAAATTCAAGCATGTTTCATCTGAAAGGCAACACTGGGCACAGATAATATTGCTTCCAATACCATACAAGTTCAGAAGCCTACTGCTAACCTGTAATGTTGGATTGTAGTTCTTCTACTAATCACATCATACACAAAAAAAGCAATGATTACATATTCTGTGAGAAAATTTTGGACTCTGATAACTAATCTGGTAGCCATAGTACCATTCTTCCTGTCCCCGTCCTATATTTACTATTCAAAGGTTTTACCTTGGTTATAGGTTAGAAAGCATAAATGGACAACATCTCCTGGAAATGAAAGAAGTCAATTTACACAATCCAGCATTTGTAAATGACAAAAATGACAGAGATAGCAGTGTAAAAAATATTGTCTCTGAATTAGCCATCATCAAAGGGCAGGTGTTTCTTATGAACTCTAGTTTGATATGCTAGCATTCTGAATTACTGAGTGTGAGTTCTCATGTGGGAAGCTGCCTGGTGGAAAAGGAGACCTGGGGCTGCTGGTTGGCAGCTGCCTGAACATGAGCCAGCAGTGTGCCCAAGAAGGCCAAAAACATCCTGGCCTGTATCAGCACAGTGTGGCCAGCAGGAGCAGGTCAGTGATTGTCACCCTGTGCTTGGCACTGCTGAGGCAGCACCTTAAATCTTGTCTTTTGTTCTGAGCCTCTCTCTACAGGAGGGGCATTGAGGTTTTTTAGCTGGTCCAGAGAAGGGGAGTGGAGCTCATGGAGGGTCTGGAGCGCAAGTCCTATGAGCAGTGTTTGAGGGAGCTGGGAGTGTTTAGCCAGGAATAGTACCCTATTTTCCTGCTGATTACTCTGGTAATGTGCAACATTTCTCTGCATTTGGGGTCACAGTGAAGGAAGGTGCACTGGAGTTCCTAGACAATTTTGTAGAATCTTTGTAATATCCTTCCTTCCTACGCGTAGCTGAATATTTTAAATACTGTGCCATCAGTTAAACTATTCTAAGCATCTGCATTTCTTTCCTCATTGTAGCTTATCATCCAAATGTTGTATGGTATTACAGAACCTTCTTGAAAAGTGAGTATAAATGCACAGAATTATCACATTATGCATAATGAAGAAATAGAAATATATAATAAAACCATTTACAGGTTGGCAGGAGCATGTCAAATTTGAGCAATAATCTTTCTTCCAGAGCTGGTACAAGTTCAAACAGGCTTATATTCCTTTAAAATTGAAAAAAAAAATGAGAAATAGTGTTTGTATTTGTTTATCTATTAGTAAAACTAGATGCAATGTAAACATGTAGCAAGCATCATTATTCTCCTCTAAAGATCCAAAGTGTACAATTGAAATACTAAATAGGGAGAAAAACTATGGTGAGTAGTAGAATGAATGATACAGATTGCCAGCCATATTGTTTTAATTTGCTTTTCAATAAAGAGTTACCTACATACACCTGCCTGCTGAGTGATTATCAGGCAGTGGTTTCCTTATAGTTCCTGACATAAATTGAGGAAAAATGAAAACAAAAAAGAATGGAATGAGATTAAGGTGTATCTATCTGTACAAGTACAATTTTTAAAGACTAAAAAGTAACAGCTTTTAAAATACATTTTAACCTCAAATACTCAATTTAAAAATTATTTCTATATAAATACAGTATTCTATTAATTTCTTTTACGAGATGCCAGGTTGTATATAGTGATGGATCTCATGGAGGGGGTGCCATTGGGAGACCAGTTTCACTATTTCAAGAAAAAGCAACAACAGTTTACAGAAGAGGAATATGGCATATATTTATCTGAGTAAGGGCCTCCATTCTTTTTGCCAGGATTTCCTACCTGTAATTAGTAGCACCATGTTTTTAAGCTAATAAATGATGAAGTAATGTTTATTATATCAATCATTAATACATTGCTGTGAATTTAATATGTCTTTATTTAGGTTGTAGTTAAGAATCTTTGTGAAGCTCTTTCTGTTTGGTTTTTAACTTTGTCTAGCTCTTTGTTATTTGCATAAAGAGAAAAGGATTGTTCATTGAGATCTCACTGTGAACAATATCATGTTGGAGGATAAAGACAAAGCTACAATTATTAAGTAGAACTGCTTTGCTTGGAGACAATTTCTCAAGACGTACCTGAGAAGCATTTCTTTACTGAAACTCTGAGACGGTTTCAGATTCCTGCATGTTGGTTATCATTCTTAGAAGCTAGTAAATTATTGCATTATTATACTGTTGTATGAAATCATTGAATCACATAATGGACTGGATTGAAAGGGATCTTAAATATAATCTATTTTCAACACCCACCCCCTCCCCCGCAGAGGGTGTTTCTCTAGACCAGGTTGCTCACAGTCTCATCCATCTTAACCTTAAACACTCCCAGGATGACCTGTTCCAGTATCTCACCACCCTCACAGTAAAGATTTTTTTCCTAATGTCTTATCTAAACCTACCTTTTCCAGTTTGAAACCATTCCCCCTTGTCCAGTCACTATGTGCTGTTGTTAAAAGTTCTTCTCCATCTTGCTCATGGGCTCCCTTCAGGTACTGGAAAGCCACTATTAGGTCACTCTAGAACCTTGTCTTCTCCAGGCTGAATAAACCAAATTCTCTCAGCCTCCCCTAACAGGAGAGGTGCTCCATCCCTCTGATCATCTTGTCGGTAATCCTCTGGACTCATTCCAACGGGTTGATGACCTTCCTGTGGTGGGACCCCAGAGCTGGATGCAGGGTTCCAGGTGGGGTCTCACCAGAGGGAAGCAGAGGGGCAGAATCCCCTCCCTTGCTTGCCCTGCTGCCCACGCTGCTTTGGACACAGCCCAGGAGCCATTTGTGTTTCTGTGCTGTGAGTGCCCATGGCTGGATCATGTCCTCTCACCCACCAGCACCTCTGAGTCCTTCTCTCCAGGGCTGCTCTCCATCTGTTCATTCCCAGCCTCTGTTGATACCAGGGGTTCCCTGACCCAGGTGCAGCACCTTGCTCTTGGTCTTGTTCAACTGAGTGAGATTCCCACGGGCGCATTTCTTGAGCTTGTCCAGGTCTCTCTGGATGGCATCCCATCCTCCAGGTGTGCCAACTGCACCCCTCCTCTTGGTGTCATCTGCAATTTATTTAGACTGATCCCTCCATCTATGTCAATAATGTATATATTAAATAACACTGGTCCCAGTATGGATCCCTGAGGGACACTGTTTGTCACTGGTGTCCATTGGGACTTTGAGCCATTGATCATTACCCTCTGGATGCAGCCATCCAACCAATTTCTAATCCATCTAGCAGTCCACTCATTAATTACTGTTTTGGGGAACCATGCCAAAAGCTTTTCAGAACACTTGATGAATGACATTTGTAGCCCTTCCATTGTCTACTGATGTAGTCAGTCCTTCATAGAAGGTCACTATGGTCAGGAAGGACTTGTCCTTGTTGAAGCTATGCTGACCATCTCAAATCACCTCCCTCTCCTACATGAGGCTTAGCATAGCTTCTAGGAGGATCTGTTCCATTACCTTCCCAAGCACAGAAGTTAAATAATTGCTGATGCAAATATTGTGTCATCAGCCAGGGCTATATTTTTTGCAACTATGGATGGTAAATATGATGGAGATGATTTAGCCTTAAAATATTTAAACTATAGTTATGCTTCAAGGCCTGTTTTTATTTACATTAGCAAGAATATTGAAATAACCAGATTAGAGAACAAGTGCTAATGAACATATAAAGTGTAACAGCTGTCTATTCCATTCCAATTCTGCCATGAAATTGCAGTGAGGTGCTTTTTGTATAAGTTTTTAGTAGTGAATATTCTTGAGTAATGCTTCTGTAATCACCACAGGGTAGAGGAAGGGACCTAGACAGGTTTCAAGACAGACTTTGAAAGCAATATGTGTGTCAGCAGTACAAAGCATGGCAGAGTTTTAGTCTTTGAGCAAATTAACACAACCTGGTACACAGAGCAAGCCTTCCAGGAAATTCAGATCTTGTAGTTTTTGAAGTTCTCAAAGAACTACTGCATATTTTCTTGCTGCTCATGACACTGAAGAAAACAAACAATTTGAATGCTGCAGAATTGTTGGGAGAAGTCTTTATGCAAAATTCCATTTTTCTTCTTTAAATATAACAGTAAACTGAAGACACACATGCACACCCATCCACAAAACACTCAGCTATAAATAGTTAGGAACTGTTGTTTCATAGTAAATATTTTTACCTCATGATCTACATATTTAAATTTATTCATTATGAAATGGTGTGTGCTAAACCCCTTTGGAGTCTTAGTAATGATGCAGTTTTAAAAGACTGAGATTTAATGGTGCAATTGTCTTTGAGTGATGAAAATAAATATTCCAAATATTATTTTAAAGTATCATATAATTGTATTTTATATCAACTACTGCCACTGAGGGGCACTCTTGTCTCAACAACCTTTCCTTATCCTTAGTCCATTCTAAATATGGAGAAGTCTAAATGTACTTTCAAGTATAAGCTCAAAATTGCCCTTGAAAAGCATTTATATTTCTGTCAAAGATTTACAGGAGTTCAGGAAAATTGGAAGAACAGAAACTTATTTGGGTCATTTCTACAGCAATTAGTTCAAAACTGTTTCAGTATTTAAACAAACACTTTATTTAGTCCTACAGCTACTACTAGTGTAGTACCTAGTGAAGTTTTGGGGAGAGCTGAAGAAATTTTATCTATTGTTTCTGAATTTTATTAAGCCTTGCTTTTTTATGACCTTAATGAAATTAAGATGAATTTATTTTCTCTCTGATGATAGTTAATATGTACTGTATAGATGCATGCTGTGGTATTGTTCCTAACTCATACAGTCCGTGTATGCCAAAGACTGGAGCGTTTGTGGTCTTAATGATTATGTCTCACAATAGCTGAGGATAAATTTACTGTTCATTTAGTACATTTCAAGTGTTCTTGGTGAAAGTTTGTCCTCATTTTGTTTGGGATAGAGTTAATTCTCTTTCTTGTAGCTGGTACAGTGCTGTGTTTTGAATTTAGGATGACAGTATTTTGATAACACACTAAGGTTTTAGTTGTTGCTGAGGAGTGTATACTCTAAATCAAGGACTTGTCAGTTTTCCATGCACTGCCAACGAAGAGCTGCACTACAAGCTAGGGCCAGGGAGTACATCCAGAATGGTTGACTTGAGCTAGCCCAAAGGATATTCCATACCATGGAATGCCATCCCCAGTATATAAACTGCCAGGAGTTGCCAATGGCTGCTCATGGACTGGCTGGGCACCTTTCAGCAGGTGGTAAGCACTGCAGTGAACATAATTTATTTTTCTTGAGTTTTATTCTGCCCCACCTTCTTTTAATTACAATTGTGGTTAATATTATAATAAATTCTAATACTACAATACTGAAATATTATAATAATTTATTTTGTTTCAGTCATCAAACTGTTTTTACACTGACCCATTTTTAGTTCCTTTTTTTGCGCGTCTCCTTCCCAGTGAGGAAGGTGAGAAATTGAGTGCGTGGTGCTTGATTGTTGGCTGGGTCTAAACCATGACAAAGTTACAACAAAATGTCAGATGAATGTGAAGCATATGCTAAAATGCTGAGAAATATATGAATTTAATTTTTCCTGTCAGGTTTTTAAAAAGAGAAGGTCTGCTTTAAGATCTACTAAAAACGTTACTTCCGCGTTTACAAGCTGCAAGCTCATCCAAAATAGAGAGAATTCAATTTTCTGGAGTCTTTCAAATCTGAAAACTGACCCAAACTTGTCTTGATCTTACTAGAGTAGTAAACTGCCTGTGAAGCAGAGTTGTGTGACTGTAAGTGGGATATGGCTGAAATTACTTTGCTTTATGAAAGAATCTTATAATACTGCTCTATTTTCTTTTCCTCAATCAGTCCTTCTGGAAATAGTAACTCTTGTTAATCTCTTGCGATGAGAATCTGCAGGCTGACAGTATAATAAAGGCAGATCATTTGTCTGTAACTAATATTCTTAAAAATATTGTCTTTAGAGATGTGCCTTTGTTTCAGACTCTTATGGTGTATTTTGATTAAAAAAACCTAGTGAAGTGATCAATACAATGGAGAAAGACTTTTTAGAGATTCAGACTTTAATTCTGCAACAACCACACCAATGAACTGCTTTAAGAAAATTCTTGGATTCACAGATAGGCATTTTGTACTTTCTGTATGAGAATGGGATCACTCATATTCCAAATCCCTTGAAGATCTCTTACACAGTTTCTTCTTGCGTGTTGGTCGAAAAGGATAGGAGTGCATAGAGTGGAAGACACTCCCACCTTGCTGTCAGAGTGGAAAACAATAAACCTGATAAATAATTATACTTATTTGTCCTGAATTCATGGAGAAGTGTTCTACAGGTGGCACTTGTAGAACAATTCCAGCAGAACTTGGTAGGCAGGGACTTATGGTGAAAGAAAACAAGAATTCATACAAAGAAATCTGCAGCTGGCCTGGCACAATGCAAGATTAAATTTGAGGGACGTCTTCTTGGGATGGTCTCTGAATATCATGTGTATAGGTCTTATTGAAAAAGAAATACAATACCTGAGATAATACTTCACTCTCTGGTAAGACCTTACCTGAAGTACTGTGTCCAGCTCTTGGGTCCTCAGCGCAAGAAGGTCATGGACCTGTTGGAGTCAATCCTGAGGAAGGTTATGAAGAGGATTGTGGTGGTTTTGCATGGGAGATCTGACAAACCAAAACCACTGCACAGATTAGAGGAGGTGAGTACCTCCGCTATGAGGAAAGGTTGGAAGCGTTGGGATTGTTCAACCTGGAGAAGAAAAAGCTCTGGGGAGACCTTAGTGCACCTTTCTGAACATAAAGGGGACTATTAAGAGAGCTGGAGAAGGACTTTTTACAAGGCCTGTAGTTGCAAGACAAAGGGTTATGGCTTCAAACTGAAAGAGAGTAGACTTAGATTAAATATGAGGAAGAAATTATTTATGGGGGCAGGGGGGTGGTGGGGCTCTGGAATCAGAAGTTCTGGATGCCTTGTCCCTAGAAGTATTAAAGGTCAAGTTATATGGGTCTCTGAGCAGCCTGGTGTAGTGAAAGATGTCCTAGCCCATGACAGGGAGCTTGGAACTAGATAATCTTAACATCCCTTCCTACCCAAGCCATTCTACAATAATATTCTGAGGAATTTTTGAATATTTATAGTCACACTGTGTTTTCTTTTTCTTAAGCAATGTGTGTGGTTAGATACTTTCTTTATTCAGATCTTTCTTTATGGTTTTGTTTTTGATCTTATGCAAGACAGAAATAAAAGTTCTAAGCCCAGGAGGTGCTTCATTCTAATGTGAAAATTGTATAACTTTTTTTTATTTCCCAGGACATCTTTTACACATATCAATTAAACTTGAATTATCCTAATCTTTTTCAGGCTCTATAAAGTTGTGTGTTGTTGCAAATGTAAACAGACATTTACAATCTGATCCCAGTCAGCTGTTTCTGACTGTAGAGAACTTTAAGCATGTTGTTGTTTTGTAGTCTCTAGAAGTGCCCACCCTACTTAGAATTAAACCTTTCTGTTTAATTCTTGACATAAATTCCATAGGAAGGGGTCCATAACTACCATCTCTTATGCTGGTACAGCATTTAATCATAATTGATTGAACTACCAATGCTATGAACATATAAATATTAAATCATGCCAACCTGCAATTTTGTAAGACATCTCAGTCTAAATTGATAGAAAAGTACAACCAAAACTGTACATCTCTGGTCAGACTGAAAGTCTCATGTATTGTGTCAGACATACACAAAAAAGGTGGAATTTGAAGTGCAGCCAGGTTGAAAGTTGTTTTGTTATAGGGTTTTTGAGATTGATTGAACCAATATTGTCAGTGGCTTTCCTTTTCATCTGCCCAGCCTTTTTATAGAAGACATTGAGAAGTTACAGTTCTAAATTGAATATGTGTATCTGCTTTTATTGCAGCTATATTTTACTGCAGCTGTGTTTTGGTTCTAGCACAGTGTATTTCTGTCTAGAGCTCCATAGCTGCATCTGTTTGTAGGACAAAACAGAAGACTCTGTAGATCATCACTTTTCCTCAGTGTCATTTAGCTGCAGAAAGGTTTACACCTTAATGGTCAGAGGGCTGTGTGGAACCACTTTCAGACACCTTTCAGAGCTGATATCAAGGAGAATTGTGAAGGGTACCCTACTCTGTTTTAGGAAGTATGTTCTGTTTAATGTTTAGTTCACATGATAAAATAGCATCTCGAAAGATCTGTATGGGTCTGAACCTAGGATTATATAACAGCGGAATGCTTGTTTTGAGACAACTCACCTGTTGTATAAACTTCTAATCATAGCAGGCAGCCATGGAGTGTTAGAATGGTTAAATGAATGTGACTTGGAAAGTTCAAAGAGTTGCTGGGTACTGGAAGAAAGTTCCCTGTTAGTTTTATAATTCAGAATATTTGCTTGAGTGTGTTGTATAAAACACTTACTGGCTCTGGATTCTGTTCCATGCCCAGAGAAGCAGTGGCCATGAGATAAAGTGGACATAACCAGTGTCTGTTGTGTGTTAGTCACTGCTCAGATTCACTTGAATCAGTAAGTGCTAATTTTTTAGCAGATTACATGGCTCATTTATCTAATATTCATAATCAGAATTGCTACCCTTCACACTGAGGTTCAAGGAAGTCCTTGTAGTACTTTATTTTTAAAGTTATTTTCATAATACGCTGAGTGGAATCTTCTACTTTTTTATATTCACATTGTAATTGAAACATTCTGGAAATCATTGGTGAATTAATACCATGATCACATCTCTCCACAAATCTCAGTTCTAGATGTGGATCAGTGCTTAAGTTCCTAGTGCAGAAGTTACAAGCTTCACAAATCTAGCAGTAGATTGTTTACAAAGCATTAATAAAAGCACACAGAAAGGAGAATGATAGAATAGCTAAAAGATTTATTTGGGAATGAGAAGTTAATTCTGTTCACATTCTATCAGTGGGTAAAAGTAGAATAAGTATGTACTGTTGTTGATTAAATTGCAAATTATTTTGATTTTGGCATATGTTTTTATAGAAAATGAAGTTGTAATTTTATACTCCAAATCGCTGTACCTCAGTAAGTTGTTTATAAATCTGCTTGATAACAATTGCAAACTTGCTGAAGAGAAGCAAAGGGTTTTTCTCCCATCCCTCTCTACCCTTCAGGGTAGAAGAAGAAACTGTTCAGCTGATACACAGTGAAAATCTGATGTGAGCAGGTCTGAAGTCCATAGATGGGGTGGATTTGCTGTTCTTTTTTGCGCTGCTTTTGGAGAACAGAAAAGAACACCAAATCCATTTTGTATTTGATTTTAGGAGAAATTAATGGCATTTTCAAATGGAGTTCAGATATAAATTAAGGCAAGAAACTTGCAGATATGAAATCAGTGTTGTTAAGTTATATCTGGATAATTTTTGTCTTGTTTATATTGCAGAAGAAAAATTTAGATCAGAATTTTGGGAAATGAAACAGCAAATGAAAATCCAGATTCTCTTAATAAAAAGAGTAATAAGAAAACCATTGCAGGTATCGGAAATGCTCATTGGAAGAGACTGCTAAGATTTGGAAAGCTTCTGTAATTTGGCTATCATGAAAGCTGAGGAGACCATTAATAGGAGATTAAGATACTATCTAAGTAAGCCTAGTCCTATTTTCATAGTTCTGTCTTTCCTTCATACCCTCTTCCATAGATTTTTAATCTTTTTTGAAACCACCTTGCTTCATTATCACTTATTCTGCAACTCTAAACATAGTGTAAACAGGTGAAAAAAGAGAAGGAGGGTGATCAGAATCTAAAGGGTTATGACTACATCATATTATTTTAATTTTTCTTCCTGTATGAGGATTGTCTTGTATACTTATTTGACTAATTTTTAACAGTTTTTAAAAAATTAAAATAAAACTAATTAATAGGGGTCACCTTCCTATTTGGTCATATCTTCATTTAATGATAAATGAGACAGGCCTGTCACAGATCTCAGAAGATGTTTCATTTGTTTGTTAGTCATTGTAGCAACTTTTGGCATCACATACCAAATAATCATGGAATATTAAACTTTTTAGACCTATTTATTTATTAATTAAGACAAATGCTTAAATAAATTAAAAGAAACAATGTCCTTAGTTTGATGTAGTTCAACAGTTGGCAGTTCTTTTCCATTTGAATCTCTATTATAGGCTTGAAAAAGCTAAGAAAAAAAATTTATGCTTAATGTAAAGCAGATTGTCCTGGGCTTTACATTCCTTAGCTCTGGCAGCATCAGTTTTATGTAGGAGTTTCTTGCTGGTGTCAACAAAGTTTAGCCGAATTTGGAAAAAATAATTGCCACTGAAAGGGTTTTATCCCTCCATTTCTGAGGACTTAAAATGAAGAGAATATATTTACTCCATCTGGCTGATTTTTCCCTCGCTTTCTTTTTTTCTCCATAATCACTCATGTTGTATTACAATCAACTACTATTTCCAGAACTGAGATGTTCAGCTGCCTTCTTTCCTTTACTAAATTTCTCTACAGGAACTGAATTTATGAATTGTTGTAATGTGTCAATACTCTTCCTTCATCAAATATTATTTGAAGAATTCTAAAGGAAGGAATTTAGAATGATTCAGCCCAATTAATACAGGGAAGTATCAACACTGCAAAAACCTCTGGTCCTTTGGGGATTAATATTTCTTGTGGTGAGCTGCCTGAGGACTGCCTTAACTCAAGGGAAAAGGGAGGCTTCTTGATTATCCTGTTAATTTAGCATTCTTTCTACTTAGATTTTCCAAGCACTGCAGAGCTAGTCCTTCTTTGGACATTTTGTTCAAAGAAAAATGATCTGTGGCTTGAGCGTCTAGATTTGGCTTTCTTATCAAAGGCCCTTTCTGAATTCAAGAACTGCTCCTTTTCAGACCCTGAAGGCTCACACTGAGCAAGAGCCAACAGAAACTAATTTTTCTTACCTGTATCTCTTCTCATCTCCAGCTTCTTTTGATGGGTAGTTACATTTTGAAATAAAATTTTTATGAACTGTGTCAGAGTGAAAGCAATTGGAATAGGCATGCTATGGGCTCTGTCCAAGTAGAACAGAAGTTCTTAGAATATTTTAAACATTGTGATTTGTTACTTACAACAAAAATCTTCTTCTGAAGTTGCGTTGCAATACAAAAATTATTAACAGGATTTATGAAGTACAATAATGTTTTCTGCTCTTTGTGTTTGGACTTAATGAAGTGTGATGCATCTTAACTGCATTGTTGTGTGGAGGCAGCAGTAGAATATTGAATTGGGAAAAACAAACTTGAACTGTTTGCATGGAACTTTGATTAAAAATATAATCTCTAAAGACTGTGTGTGCCATTTTGTCAATGACTACCTGATAATTACACAAGGCACTTTATTAACATAATTACATGATCATCTAAATCTACAGCTTTTTTCACAAGCTAAGGCTAAGATTCACCATTATTTCTTACCAAATTTCATTTTTGAACATGAACTACCAAGCTATTAGACCCCCCCACCCCCATGCTCCTTTGAAATTAAATTTCTTGGAAAGTCCATCCTTCCCAATCATCATAATTTCAAGGAAAGAAAACTAATTATCATAGATTTAGATTATTTGAGATTAGTATGAGATCACTGCTTATTAGATACATAGCATTGTCATATTAGTAGTATGTTTATTGAAATATATTAGTAGAAACCTGAAACTGGTCATATAGTTTACACTGAAACCATCAGAAGTGTGCTTATGGTATTTTTAAAGCAGATAGGCCTAATTCAAGTGTAAGTTGTGGATGAATGTGGAGATAAAAAAATATTATAGTCAAGTTCTGTGAAATGTAAAAGATAAAAAAATCCCAAACCTCCCTTCCACCCTCCCCCAGTTTTTCAGCTGATGTGACTGAGCACTGATTGTCTTCAATCAGTGGAGGTGGTGGCTATTGAGATGTGAATCTTTTTGTTCCCTTTTTTTATTGTTGTAGCTGACTTTGGTCTTGCAAAGTGAAGGCAGGAAATCTGCAAACTTGCGTAAGTAATGGTATCCTATAATATAGGTAATCCTATAGTTATTTATATGCATATATATGTAGGTATACCTATCTATCTATATAGGTGTTTATATATTACCTATAGGTAATCCTATTATCCTATAATAATAGGTAATCCTATATTTCTGGTAAGTACTCCTGCATGTAACTTTTAGTCCAGGGACTTCCCTCTTCATGGTTACTCTTGGAGCAGACAGGGAAGTTGCAATGAAGTAAGGAACAAGGTGTAAGTCACGAGCTACTCTGCAACAGTTGGTTGTCTCCCTATTTTGATGTTGCCTGTTCTTAACACATGGTGGTTACTGTGGGTTAAGTTGGTGCAAAAATGAACGAGCTGCAGTAATGTAGTAATGTATTCATCTATATATAGAATACCCTTATAGATAAGGAAATGTGTGTTTAAATTATAAAAAGGTGTATGTAAACAGTATCAATTACCACGACCATATGTGAAGGCCTTAAACCTGTGAGAATGCCTGCAGGATGTGATAACAAATTAAAAGGTCCAAGCCATGAGGGGAGCTGCTGGTTGTTCCTCTGAATTAAGAGTCAAGAACTCAGGCATTTGGCAGTTGAACATAATACATTTTGCCATTTTTGAATTTGTTGCTTGTGAATTCCTAGTGCCAGAATGATAATGATTGACACTTATTCCCTAGAAATCCCTAAATCCTAAAATGGCTTCAAGAGTGAGACCTTGTAATATGTTATCACATACCTTGGAAGACATGCTTATAGCTCTTAGTGAGCAAAGGTAAGAGGATTGCAAGGCTGCCTTAATTGCTTATCCAAATATCCCTGAAGCATTGCACAATTTCTGACTGACATTTGATCTGTGAGTGATAGCTGGGGTATATAAAGTGTAGTAAGAGTTTGGTGTAACTAGTTATGTGCCATCTTTTTTTCAGCTTCTCTGAAATAATCAATTTGTTTTGTTCACTTACAGCTGGGAAGAGAAGCTGTTGATGAGAATTTATTCTGCTCTTTTAAACATCAGTTTAAAAATAGAGGTGTCAGAGGTGTCAAAACCATGCTGCCATGGCCCTGAGGCACACTGAATTGTAATTTTTCTTATCCCATCTACATTTATTTCTTCTTTTTCCTCTGTTAGATGCCTATTTTGTTTTCACTGATATCTTTTGGGTTTTTAATATTTTGCAGGAAATTTTTCTTTGAGAGTCGTGTTCTGTATATTTAAATACTTTTTAAAATATAATTTTTGCTTATACTATATTTATTATTATTCTTATACCCTGTCTTTGTACATAGAAGTTCATATCAGAGCTAGAACTTTGGCAGGTCTTTTTCTACCTCTTTATCCAGTTATTTGGATGCAGAATTGAGGATAAAATGTCCCTTACAAGCTGCAGTCTCTCAAGTAAGTGGTCTTTTGGGACATGACTTGTCAGTTCTACTCCACAGGCAAAACTATGGAAGCAGTGATCCTTGTCTGTCTGCAGTCAGAAAAGAGAACAAGGACAGAGTACAGATGTCTTTGTATTTAAAATATATGCTTGAGTAATATTTAAAATGACAGGCTAAGATATTAGTCCTTCCAATGTCATAATAATTTAAGAATGCTAAAGAGGCTTTGCAAACAGCACCATACACTGGAGGCCACCTTCAAGGTGCTTGGTTAGTTCTGGGTGTGACAGTGGGCTTTTTGAAAGGAAGCCTGTTCACAAGGAATAAGATGAACTGACAGAGTATTTTATGACAAGTCTTGAATGAGAAATCAGACCCTGTAGACTTAAGCAGTGCTTGGTCTTTTTAATGGCACTTTTTAATGGTGCTTTTTTGTATGATTTAAGTAGATGTTAAAGACTATTAAAAACCAAATAAACTGCCTACTTATCAATGCACGAAAAAACCCCCCAAACCAAAAAGAGAAAGAGAAGTGAGAGATTGTTTTCATCTTAGAATGGCAGAAATAGCTTTCTTCTGAATTGACAGGTAATAGTTTTGAGTAGTTTGAGATGCAACCCACCCTTCTTTGAGCAGACAATACTGTGCAGAAGAAAGACAATAAATATCAAAAGTAGCATTTGATGCTTATTGTTTAAATTTGACTAAGAAATATTATGCAAAATGCTTCAGATAAAAACACACCACCGTATGTACCAAAATGTTTGTATTTGGGCTTGGCTGAATCAATTTGTTAATGCAAGTTTTTGAACCTTGTGTCATCGTAAAATAACTGCAGACACTGTTTTTTGTTTAGAGAGGGGCTTATATAATTATATTTTGTAATTGTGATGGTTTTTAATTTTACTTCATACTAGGTTGCATTCTACTATCACACGAATTAAATTCCTTTTAACTGATTATCTCCCTGAATTAAAAAATCCAGCAATGTGTGTGTTTAGAATACCAAATGTATTAAACGGATGTGTTTACACTTAATACATTAAAAGTTGAGGAAAAGACTGCTTTAGGGAATTGGTAATGAATCCTGAAGTCTTTTCCCAGCTCATAAGTCACTAGAAACAATCTGCTCCAAGTTAGTGGTGACAGTCTTTATTATTGTGCTGTCTCAAAGGCCTTCCCAGAAGAGACACAGCAATTGTCCATTGTTAGAGAGAATGGCGTTTCCTTTCAATTATACCTTCCATTTCTTTGTTTCAAAAAAAGGATTATGATTTAGGAAAAAAAGGATATATTGCCAGCAGATCAAGAGATATATATAACTGTATATGTATAGAGACAATTTAGATGAACTCTGGGAAATTAACTTAATTTTGAGATTGGATGGAATTGAGAGTCCCATCATAATTGCTTGAGAACTTGACTGATCTTTAAAAGCTCTTGAGAAACTATGAGTAGATCCCTCAGGTGTCATTAAGAAGCGGGCAAGAAAGTTCTGCCATAGTTGGTGAGCTAACTTGATCTTTCTGAAACAAAATTTTTTTCAAATGTTAGAAAACTGATGCACAGAACAATTTTGTTTATTTAGCTTTTTGTGCCAGTGTTGGGGAGTTTTCTTGCTATGGTGTTTTGAAGAAACTCCCATTTCAGTGGCGATTGGACATCTTATTTTACTCCCTCATCTTCTCTGCTGTGGAGGAAAAAATATTCGTTGATCTTCATTTATGTTTAGGGAGTACACACTTTGTCTGTGTATTGTGTTGTGTTAATCAGATTTCTTTTCTAGTACTGGTCACTGCTTCTCTTTATAACCATATCTTGTGAGAGCATTGCATAAATCAATAGTCTGGTGTGATTTCTCATGTAGACACCTGCAGTAGCTGCATTGCTTATTATGGTGACATAATATTTTCACTTAATTAAAGAATTTTTATTTTGGGAAAGGTAATTTAAGTTGACGGAGTGTGTTGTATTTTCAGAAATACTTTATTTTTAGCGTTTATGATGCTATATGGTCAAACTGATTATGAGATTTCCCAGCAGTACTTTATTCCTCCAAAAATAGAATCTGAAACATTTCACCAATTTCAAGTATGTTTGAGAGTTTAGCTTCTTTCAATGTATGTGAAAATTTGGTGATGGTTATCAAGTAGCGAAACAATTCAGTCTTGGTGAGAAAAGTTTTTAAATTCATCTGAATTTTTCCAAATTTCCAAAATAAGCTGCAGGATATGCTGTTGTGTGACAGCAGTTTGGTGTGTTTAGATAACCCAGAGAATAGGAAACTGAAGGTATTGTGTGATGGTGAGAGGAAACAGAAAGCTAGTGGAAAATTGGTCTTGTGCTAGTTTTGCCCTTCATGGAACAGATGGCCCCTGGAGGGGATTTGTTGATTTGAATAGAAAGGTAACAAAAGTTAAATAATCCTTTCAGTACATCAATACCGATTTTTTTACCAGAGGATCTTCTGAAAGTTGTTTAATACAAGTGTTCACTCTGAGAATGAAAGATAGAAATGAAATACAATTGTGAAAATTTGGTTGTAGTGTAGACGTAAGTTTATAATACTGTGTATCAGCAAAATGTCCAGTCCAATTAGAGATGGAATCCACAGGGAGAATATAGGTTGGACAGGCAGGCAGCACTGTCCCTGTGTGTAACCCACAGGACAGCTCTGTTTAGAAATTATGTTTCATTGTGAGCACCTGGACTAAAAAGATACCTGGATAAACCTCAAGGAAGAACATTATAAATACTTGACAGAGACTGCCTTACAAACAGATGTTCAAATGATTTAGTTTTTATAGGTTTTATTAAGTAAGAAGTTTGTCTAGTTTACTGTCACCTGACATTTGAAATATACTTAATACCATGTTGTGAGATAGCATTATACTTGGGGGTAAAACTGGAAATTATGTGAAACAAAGTAAGAAAGCATGAAGATATCTGTATTTATCTCCAGAAAAATGTTCCAGTGGCAATTATACAATTCTCACCATAAGAGATAACTGAATACTAGACAGGAGAGAAGGAGGAAAAAAAAAAATCTTGGACTAAAAGAAAACCAGCCACTTTATAAGTAACATGAACTAGTCCATATTATGAATTTTTCCTAACCTGAGTAGAGTTGTACTCACAAGGGCTTGTAAGTAGGCTAAAGTCATAGTGCAAGTTGTTTGCATGAAAGGGAATGTGAAAACAGTTTTCTGTACTTCTTTTCTATCAAGTGAATGGTACTGATCCAGCTTCTAAAGAGTAACTTTAATGCTGAGGGGTGGAATGTAACATCTAATAATTTTATAGGCTCCATGGTGACTTTAGACTGCTACCTTGAGGGAAAAAAATAGTACTGTTTTACTACCATAAAACATTATAAATCAACAATGTACTTCTCAGAAATAGTTATTTCTGTAAAACTTATACAAGTTCTACAGGAATTATTTTAATCTATAATAATCATTATATTATTATCTCTTTGGAAGAGATAATAATGATAATGAACAAACACTTAGAATAAGATTAGTCATTTAATCAGACTAATTTATCATCTTCTAAATGTCTTTTAGTACAATGTTACTGGCATTTGTTTGCTGGAATTCTTCTTTCATTTTTGTTTTAAGTAGTG